GATGCAAAGTGGACAGCTGCACAAGATCAACAACACCGAAACACCAGGACACCAAGGACCGGCCGGACTTCACTTAGAACCCGTCACCAAACGCGAGAGATCACCCTCGCCGAGCGAGTGTTGCTCCCCCGACACTATGAACCCTCCCTCACCCGCGGACTCCAGTGAGTGTGAATTTCACCTAATTTCATTCCGGTCAATTTTTCTCATCACTTCTGCGTGTATCTTTGGTGTCGATCCTGAGGAACTTCTTCCAATTAACATGTTCAATGAAATTTTGTTACAATTTTATTTATTCGACAGTCTGTTTTTTTTTTCTCTCTCTTTATCCAAATTGCACATTTCGATTCAACGAAATTCTTCTTTTCGCTCCAAAAAGCTACAAATTTTCTGTTATCGTGTTACTACTTATCCTTCTCCGTCTTAATTTGACATTTTCTATTCGATCGAGATTCAATTTCGAGCTCTCCCTTCGAACATCTTCTTGTACCACTCGTTCGGAAGATTTTGAATTTCGAAAAATTTTCTAAAGAACGAGGGTTGTAAATGTGAGACACTTTTAGTGGAAGAATCCTGAAATAGCGTGAGTGAATGACGGGAGAGAAAGAAAGCGAAGGAAGAGTCGTACGAAAGCTGTCTTTAGAGTTGTAAGAGTTGCAAAAATATGAAATTATCATTATATCCACGTAAAAACACTTAACAATACAAAATCTACAGTTTTCTCAATTTTTCGAAACGTATCCTCTTTCTTATGAGATTTCGTTCACTCCTCTTTTCTTCCATAAATTTCTCTTCAAATCTGTCCAACTGTTGTACAGTAACAGATCCTTCGCAAAATAGTTAAACAAGTAGTATTATTTATCGACTGTTCGATCGATAGGCAAGCATTCTTTGTAAACGAGTTTTGTCCTGGAACTTTTTTCGAACAGAGCAGAGTTGCGTTGGGAAGAAACGAGAAGTTTGAGGATATTAGCTATAGGTCTCAGGATCGACTCCTGACTCTACTACTACCAGCCGACGATCTAAAACGAGCTCTATCGGACAGCTGGATGAAAACTTTTAAACTAACGTCGACATTGTCGATTATTCCGCGCGACAGATTCCGAGGACTCGTCACCAATACAATATGGCTTGTCTCTTGTAGCGCTCTCGATGGCCTCATCGGGGCGAGACTTCGATCCACGCACCCGGGCCTTCTCCGACGAGGAGCTCAAACCCCAACCGATGATCAAGAAATCACGGAAGCAGGTAAATCAGTTTTTACAACGGTACGCGACACTTTTCAGTCATCATTTTCGAAAAGTCTGCACGATTCTCCGCGAAATTGTCAGATAGAGGGAAACGAGAATAAAAAATATCGTGTGATTGCTATTTAAAATTTCTTGTATTTTTTAGTTACTCTGTGTAAGAAATAATTGATAATAACTAGACTGCGGATTTTTATGCAAATTCATTTTTTTTTTTTTTGGATACAGTAGAAAGAGTGAAACTTTGATAGAAAATTATTTCATCTACCAGAAGCTATAGAGAGCACTATAATTTTGTATATTTCTTCATGTTACCTGCATTCTGTGCAATTTTGCACCTTCAGATTTCCTATAAATGCATAAAAATCTGCAGTTTAACGGTAACTTTTGAACTTCCCTTTTGGGAGATGAAAAAAATTAAATAAAAATGTTGCAAGGATTTATTGAAGTAGAATTTGTAGAGTACGACAGTGGTCCGAGAGTTTTACACCAGACTTTCATTATCTATTGAATTCTATTGAATTTGTAGAGCTAGGGTGCGTTCTTACAACGTCATTGTACTTTGACGCCCGAGGTTCGTAACGTTCTAATTTCCTCCTCTTTTCCATGATCCGTTGCCGGCTACAGTTCGTTCCGGATGACCTGAAGGATGACAAATACTGGGCGCGTCGTAGGAAGAATAACATGGCAGCGAAACGATCACGGGACGCACGTCGCATGAAGGAGAACCAGATCGCTCTCAGGGCCGGCTTCCTCGAGAAAGAAGTAAATCTTTCCACGCCTCTAAAATTAAAGAACACACATTTTCAAACCAGTCATTGTAGTCTTTTTAATTACCCATCGATGTAATGAACATTTGACATGGAAAGTAAAAAAGAAACACTTGTGGTTTCATTCGTACAACAAAACAGCATGAATTTATTTAGTTCAGTTACAAATCAATCGTCGCTTTCTCTGCAAGCAAAAATTCATGCTGTTCTCACAGAAAAATGAAGGTACACACAGTTGTTCACCGCACACTCTCGACAGTGTGCTCGAAGAGCTTTCGCGAGATGCTAAAAGTAACGCTTTTCTGCAGAACATGGGCCTACGGCAGGAACTGGACCGGTTAAAGAACGAGAACATGCTGCTGCGCGACAAGCTGAGTAAATATACGGACGTCTAACAGTGCGCCGGGCAAGCAACAGCTCGTCGTGGTATTAAAAAAGATGCAGACACGAGCGTTTGTTGTGCCAGCTCCTCCCACACTTTATAGTCGCAGCACTTAGGTTTTTCGCCAGTCCGGATGACAGAAGAAATGCTAAAGAAAACAAAAAAAAAGGAAAAGTCAGAAAAAAATGAAGATGACGAAGAAAAGAAAGAAGAAGAATAAGAAGAAGAAGGAAAGGAAGGAGCGCGCCGAATCACAAGACCATCCTCGACAAAATTTCACTTTCCTAGAGGATCTCCCCCCATCTACCATCCTCCTTGAAGATATATCCTTGAACGAACTTCTGCTAATTCATCCGCCTTTTCCCTCTTCTTTATCCCCCCTCACACGCTCATGCATACACAATAAACGTATACACATACACATTATACCTTTTTCCCTCATCCCAATAGTTAAACAAGTAGTATTATTTATCGACTGTTCGATCGATAGGCAAGCATTCTTTGTAAACGAGTTTTGTCCTGGAACTTTTTTCGAACAGAGCAGAGTTGCGTTGGGAAGAAACGAGAAGTTTGAGGATATTAGCTATAGGTCTCAGGATCGACTCCTGACTCTACTACTACCAGCCGACGATCTAAAACGAGCTCTATCGGACAGCTGGATGAAAACTTTTAAACTAACGTCGACATTGTCGATTATTCCGCGCGACAGATTCCGAGGACTCGTCACCAATACAATATGGCTTGTCTCTTGTAGCGCTCTCGATGGCCTCATCGGGGCGAGACTTCGATCCACGCACCCGGGCCTTCTCCGACGAGGAGCTCAAACCCCAACCGATGATCAAGAAATCACGGAAGCAGGTAAATCAGTTTTTACAACGGTACGCGACACTTTTCAGTCATCATTTTCGAAAAGTCTGCACGATTCTCCGCGAAATTGTCAGATAGAGGGAAACGAGAATAAAAAATATCGTGTGATTGCTATTTAAAATTTCTTGTATTTTTTAGTTACTCTGTGTAAGAAATAATTGATAATAACTAGACTGCGGATTTTTATGCAAATTCATTTTTTTTTTTTTTGGATACAGTAGAAAGAGTGAAACTTTGATAGAAAATTATTTCATCTACCAGAAGCTATAGAGAGCACTATAATTTTGTATATTTCTTCATGTTACCTGCATTCTGTGCAATTTTGCACCTTCAGATTTCCTATAAATGCATAAAAATCTGCAGTTTAACGGTAACTTTTGAACTTCCCTTTTGGGAGATGAAAAAAATTAAATAAAAATGTTGCAAGGATTTATTGAAGTAGAATTTGTAGAGTACGACAGTGGTCCGAGAGTTTTACACCAGACTTTCATTATCTATTGAATTCTATTGAATTTGTAGAGCTAGGGTGCGTTCTTACAACGTCATTGTACTTTGACGCCCGAGGTTCGTAACGTTCTAATTTCCTCCTCTTTTCCATGATCCGTTGCCGGCTACAGTTCGTTCCGGATGACCTGAAGGATGACAAATACTGGGCGCGTCGTAGGAAGAATAACATGGCAGCGAAACGATCACGGGACGCACGTCGCATGAAGGAGAACCAGATCGCTCTCAGGGCCGGCTTCCTCGAGAAAGAAGTAAATCTTTCCACGCCTCTAAAATTAAAGAACACACATTTTCAAACCAGTCATTGTAGTCTTTTTAATTACCCATCGATGTAATGAACATTTGACATGGAAAGTAAAAAAGAAACACTTGTGGTTTCATTCGTACAACAAAACAGCATGAATTTATTTAGTTCAGTTACAAATCAATCGTCGCTTTCTCTGCAAGCAAAAATTCATGCTGTTCTCACAGAAAAATGAAGGTACACACAGTTGTTCACCGCACACTCTCGACAGTGTGCTCGAAGAGCTTTCGCGAGATGCTAAAAGTAACGCTTTTCTGCAGAACATGGGCCTACGGCAGGAACTGGACCGGTTAAAGAACGAGAACATGCTGCTGCGCGACAAGCTGAGTAAATATACGGACGTCTAACAGTGCGCCGGGCAAGCAACAGCTCGTCGTGGTATTAAAAAAGATGCAGACACGAGCGTTTGTTGTGCCAGCTCCTCCCACACTTTATAGTCGCAGCACTTAGGTTTTTCGCCAGTCCGGATGACAGAAGAAATGCTAAAGAAAACAAAAAAAAAGGAAAAGTCAGAAAAAAATGAAGATGACGAAGAAAAGAAAGAAGAAGAATAAGAAGAAGAAGGAAAGGAAGGAGCGCGCCGAATCACAAGACCATCCTCGACAAAATTTCACTTTCCTAGAGGATCTCCCCCCATCTACCATCCTCCTTGAAGATATATCCTTGAACGAACTTCTGCTAATTCATCCGCCTTTTCCCTCTTCTTTATCCCCCCTCACACGCTCATGCATACACAATAAACGTATACACATACACATTATACCTTTTTCCCTCATCCCCTTGATCCTACTCTCTCTCTCTCTCTCTCTCTCTCTCTCTCTCCCTCTCCCCTCCCTCTCCCTCCCTCTCTCCCTCTCCCTCCCTCTCTCCCTCTCCCTCCCTCTCTCCCTCTCCCTCCCTCTCTCTCTCTCTCTCTCTCTCTCTCTCCACTTTGCCTGCTCTTTGTCCTCATAAAATTCACCCAAACTCCCTGAAAAAAAAAGTGTACATAGTTATATGTATAGTTAGATTATATGTATACATGCATACATACACAAGCCGTGTGTATGTCTGTCTGTAAGTGTGACTCTGTGCGCGCGTGCACGCACGCGCAAAAACCCGCATGCACACGTGTATGTATTTATATATATATACCAAGAAAACAAGGGTGGTGTTAGCCAAAATCGGGAATATATCAATTCGCTGCAACGCATTATCGAGCATTATATATGTATACACATATATACAATGGAGAACGCGTATCGTATATATCTATATACATAGAGAAGAAGAAGAGACACGCATACACGTATACATCGCGGTGCCGCGGACAGTGGTGTATTGTGAATGTGCGTGCCAGATGAATAATGTATAAAACACGGCTGTTCTACGAGAGAAAGAGACACTTTGTTACTTTTCCCTTGCACTCTTTGTGCATGTTAATCAGAGACTTTCCATCGGTTGTACCTCAGGAGAAGGTTCAGAAGCGACACGCAACCTCTTTAGAAGAGGAAGAACCCAACAAGCTGATCAATGTGATGTTTTCCGTTAGTAAAAGTGTCTCGTAACACACACACACACACACACCTGGCACGCACACACTGTATTAAAAACGCCTCGTAAAACTGATGGTGGAGCTGATTAGAGTAATAAGTGAGAAGAAAAAAAAAAGATGTACGAACATGTAAGCACGGACCGGCGCGCGTTACGAATGATCAATAGTCTGTGAAAAAAAAGGTGGCTTC